TTTCAAAACATTTTTTCTCATCTTTTTTATTGCCCCTGCTATTCTGGCGCCCTAAGCCTAACTGCCCCAGCTTATTTTCCTGCTCTGGAAAGTGGTCCTCGCCATCCCACTTTGTCTCACCTCAGGTTGAGGTGGTCAGGGGGCCTTGCATCCCCGTCTTAGCCTGGGTCTGCCCTCCTAGCTGGATCTGTTGCCCACCAGAGGGCAGACCTCCCCAGCAGGCAGGCCCAGGGCAGGTGGGGGTGGAGGCTCCTGGCTGAACATGCCCCATTAGTAGGGAGTGGGCCCCATTAGTGGGGAGCTGAAGAGTGGAGCCCAAAGATGAGGCCTCCCTTGTTTGGGATGTGGCCACTTCACCCCTTATACAGGCAACAGCCTTGAATTATTCTAGTGACGATTTGTGTCTTCCTGACCCTGACTACCCCAGACCAACGGTGGGCCTGTTGATCCACTGGACAACAGGAGACACTTGCTCATCTTGTGGTTCTGCCTCACTCCATCTGAACTATTCATCTGGCTTCCAGTCAACCCCACTTTTCCACTGAAACAGCTTTCCCTAAAGTCACTAGTGAACGCCATGCCGGACAGTATGTCCAATGGGCTTCTCATCTTGCATGGCCTCTCGGTGATATTAGTCCCTTGTGATCACTCTCTTTGAAGCCCTCTCTTCTCTTGGCTTCCAAGATATCCCACTCTTTTCCTCTGTGGCCTCTTTGTGTCTTCCACCTCGCGTTAAATGTTGGCCTGTCTCAGGCTTTGACCCTAGGTTGCTCTTCTTTCTCTATGCTCTCTTTCCAGGTGATTTCATCCACATCCTGACATCCGGAATCATGTTCTTTCACGCGCATCCAACCCATCACCAAGTCTTGTCTGTTTCCTCTCCTGTCTCTAGGATCTGGCTACTTCTCTCCACCAGCTCCACCACTCAGGCTACTGCACCATTCTTTCAGTTGCTCTTGTACCTCTAATCTTGCTCCCCTCCAATCGCAGCCTTCAGAGGGTTGAACCTTTTGCTTTGAACCCTCCACTGATTTCCCACTCCTCCCAGGGTCGAGAGGATTCCAGGCCCAGCACGGTTGGGTTTTGGCCGGCCTCTCTAGTTCCCCAGGAACATACCTCCACCTCCCTCTCTGCTCCAGCCACACTGGACATCTCTCAGTTCTCTGAGCAGACCCTGTTCCCTCCCACCCAGGGCCTTTGCACGCTGCCTTCCCCAGAAAATTCTCCCTTCTCTTCTTTGGATCTCAGCGCCGTTGTCACCTTCTCAAGGAAACCCTGCCTGACCTCCCAGACCAGGCCAAACCTTTCCCCCTTTTGTGCTTTCATGGGATTATGTCCTTCTCCAGTGTCAAGGCTGAAGTTTCACATGTGTGTAGGTGCTTTTATGCGATTTTTACTTTACTCTTTGTCAATGGCTCCCCCTGCCCCCACTGTGCCCCACTAATTCCTTGAGAGCAACCACCAGGTCTGTTTTACTCACCATTATATCTCTACTAGTAAACACAGTATCTGGACCATAGAATGCTGTCAATAAATAGTTGTTGAATGAATGAATGAACAGATAAATGAATGAATCTGGCCCTGTCAGCAGCTTGCTGTGTGACTTTGGGAGTTACTTTACCTCTCAATGCCTGAATACCTCCCCTGGGAACCTGCCTTGTAGGGCTGGAGTGATGGTGGAGCCAGGTAGTGGGAGATGCTGACAGGTCTATAGCATGAGCTGGGGCTTAGGAGGTATACTTAGCAGTGCTCACAGTGGTCACTTGAGACCTATCAGAAGAAAGCTACAATGCAGTGGAAAGAGGACAGACTGGGACTGGGATGTCCTGGAGTCTGGCCCACTGTCCCTCTCTGAGCCTCAGTCTCCTCATGGCCAGGATGTAAGGTTTGGCCTTGAAGCTGTCCCAGGCCTGTCCGGATCTGAGAGTCTGCAACCAGCTGCTTGGATGGTTTGTTTTCTGGCCTGAGAAACAGTTTCAGTTCTTTACAGACAATAAGAGCCGCAGCTGTCCAGTCCTGAGACAGGTTCCACGCCCAGGTCTTCTGGGCAAGGGCCCAGGCCCAGGGTCTCCCTGACTGGCCTGGGCCTGGCTCAAGGCCCTGGGGCCTGAGCAGTGCCCAGCACCTGTCTCCCAGCCTGGCACAGAGAGACCTGCCAGTCAGAGCACAGCAGGGACCAGGAAGGCAGTGGCACTGACGGGTGGGGGTGCTCCAGCAGGCAGCGGGAGGTGTGGGGAAAGGGCCAGCCAGGAGACAGCCTGTGGGGTTCTGACCCTTGGCCAAAGGCTGGGTAGCTGGGTTGCCAGGGCTGGCAGCTGCTCCTCTGGCTGCCTGTTGCCCAGAGCTAGGGAGTGGGGACACAGCCAGTACTGGGAGGAGAAGGTGCTGCTTCCTCTGTGCACATGGGGCAGGCTTGGCTCAGGCCAGGGGAGAAGGAGGGGAACAGATCAGGGCCAGTTAGAGTTGTGCTTGGGGGAACTTTGGTTATCTTGGATAAGCCTGAGCCCTGACTCTGGTCCCAAACGGAGCCGTGACCCTGGTCATACTCTGAGCCCTGACCCTGACCACACACTGAGCCCGACCCTGATCACATACTAAGCCCCAACCCTGGTCACACTCTGAGCTCTGACCCTGATCATAGACTGAGCCCTGATCCTGGTCACAGGCTGAGTCTGTACCCTGGTGACTAATT